TGGAGCTATACACTAAAACACAAGATTATCTATTGTACTTTGAAGATACTATTTCTCAAGGTGAAAGTATAATTCTCCTCGGCATTTTGGCTTTCAGAGAACTCCTTTGGTTATGGGAGCAGCAGTTGGAACTGTTACACTGGGAGCAAGGTTCCTAATAAGAGCATGGCAAGCATTCAAAGTAGCCCTCGGAGGTTTTATCCTGGTGGATTTGAACGGGTAATGACAAGGCAAGAAGCAGCATTGATTCTTGGAGTCAGGTGAATGTTCTTAATCATGATGTGTTCCAATTATGCTTGAGTGTGGTAGTATTAACAAAAGCAATCTCAAACACAGGAGCCAGCTCTTTCCTCTCTCTTCCCTATGTTATTTTACCACTTTCTTCCCACGTAAAGTCCCCATTTTTTCTGAGAATAAAGACCTAAACAATATGGCATGCATTCTGCCCTACTTATGCAATCAGTTTGTTCATTCTCTTTTTAAACCTGGATATCCCCTAATACATTGGATTGCTAGCAAGTTTGAAAATGCAGTAATTTAACTATGGCTAGAATACTAGATGCTGTGCCATTTGGGCTGTTTCCTTTTCTTTCTTTTGCTAAAGCCTTACATCAATCAGTACTCAACTCCCCTAAAGTCTTTTTCTTTCTTTTTAGCTCTTTCAAGTTTCATCATGTTTATGTTATCTTCTTGTGAATTAATCATTAAATGTTGGGAATTGGGGTTCCCAAAGTCCCAAACCAAAACTGAACTTTTTCAAACCAAACCGAATACCGAAGCACAGTAATGTATCTAATCCAAGTTGGTTGTGGGTAGAGGAATTCAAGTTCTTGAGAATGGCGAAATCACAGTAATGTATCTAATCCAGTGTTGGCAAGGATGGAATTGTGCGTGTTTGGAGGGTGATTGAATTTGAATTCCCAAATAAACTAAACAATCAGGATTTTGATCTTTCATGTTTATATTTCTCACTAAATCTCTTCTCGTGATTAGCTTCCCTTAACCTTCATGAAGAGAAGATACGTCAGATGAAAAGAATGAGAAAGTCATCAGAATCAGCTTGTGTCATCCTCCCGCCAAAGTCCTTCTAGATTCCAGAGAAACCCGTACACGAGTTCTATGGACACAAGGGTGAAGTCCCAGATCTTTCTTGGTCAAAAAATGAGGTTAGTATTCTGTATACATTCTGATCAGGAAAAAGTTCTTTTTTTCTACTAGATTTTAACTTCATCTCTTATTTGCCTTACTTAATTCTTTAAATCCGCATTATATTCTCCAGTATCTATCATCCTCTGTTGATAATACAACTCGCGTGTGGCAAGTAGGACATGGTCAATGTTTTGGCGTTTATTCACATAATAATTATGGCGAGTCTATTTCTATTCTATTTTTGTGAGGTTTCTCTCTATAGGATTTTCTGTATACATATGTAGTACATTTGTTAGCGGTTCAGAAGATGGAAAAGTACGTCTTTGGGACGTGTACCGCCATCGAGTTATTGATTGGACTGATGTAAAAGAAATAGTTATTGATGTGTTATTCCCCTGATGAAAAGGTTTGATTAAGGCATATTCTTTATTTTGAAATAAGAGCCTGTTTGTATCAAAAAGCATGCCATATGTTTTTTTTTTTTTCTCGAAAGTTGGAAAAAAGCATTGGCCCTGATAATTTTAGTAAATTTATGTTACCTTTTAATCAACGCAGGATGGTGTTGTGGGCTTCATGGATGGCAGTTGCCGTTTTTATGATGTAGTAGGTATGTATAATGTCGTAATTGTTTCTTCTACTTGAACCTATCCTTCCCGGCATGCTTTATCGTGCTACTACTACCTTTACATATTAGATTAGTAGTCTCTATTGAAGTTTTCTGAGACTGCTCATATAATTTATGCTTGTACTCTACATGATGCCTTTATTTCTTTCATTTCTTTGATTTAGGTAATTGCTTGCAAACGGGCTCTCGAGTATGCCTACAAGGGAAGAAAAAGCTTTCTCACAACAGAATAGTTGGATTTCAGGTAATCTGAAAGTTTCTAAAAAAGTTATAGTAATTGTGGACTCTTTGAACGCATGTGTATAAACTTCTATTTGATAGATAAATCACAATCTTAAGCGAATAAATATATGTATTCTAAAGCATATGCTTTCAAATTCCATTCCTCATATATGATTCATTTTGCAATTGAGTTAGCCTTTGACTGAAAGTTTTGAGCCTCCTGCTGGTTTTGTTGGGTAAATAGGTGGAAGAGCTTCTTTGTAAGGCATGATCAAACAACTTCAAATGCATGCATGTAGTCCTCTGCAGAATCTAAAAACTTAGGAGCTTCCTAATAACGATTTTGGTTCATTTATGCTTAACTTATTTTTGGTCTTTTTGTTATAAGTATTATATATTTATGTGCACAGCAAAAGTTATCTATTGTCTTATAATATTAGTGTGTAGAGATTGAAACATGAGGTGAAAGTATATTGGCATTTAGATGGCAACTTTAGTATAATACTTTGGACTTGGACAACAGAAACACATGTTAGAGTTTGTGTTGTTATTTCTATATATTCTAAACTCCTAAAAACTTTCGAGTTCGAAGACTTTGCAAACCACAATGCTTTTGATCTGCTGGCAAAGTATAATACTACACATCTTGTGTTTAATGATGATACACAAGTAATATTTCCCTGTATGATTCAAGAGCTTTCTTATTCTACTGGCATTGATGTTGCATTGTGTTCAATGATATAAGAGCTTTCTTGTTGAAACATTTCCCTCAGTTCTAAATGTTACATAATTATATATTTATATCACAGGGAACATTTGTGCCATTCTGTGTTCACAGGGAACCCCAATCTGTAAACCTTTGTGCCATTCTGTGTTCACATATTTTGTTGGTGGAGTACCCGTGTAGTTGAAAGGAATTCGAGGCTTCCCAAGAAAATCATCTGTGAAAACACCAATTATAGTAATAATGAGCTTGAAGGAGAGTTGTAGTAGGCATGACTGAGCTGTAGTAAATTTACATTAGGGTCAAGTATGAATTTTTTTTTTAATTTTTTTTTTTAATGTAAAAGTACTTTTTAGTTATGGATGCAATTCAAATAATATGTAGACTTTTGTACTTGAATATTGTTTGATGTTATTATTTGATAAATATTTGTTTCAATTGATTTTCTTATAAATTGAATGTGTATACAGAGTTTGTATGTGGTTGCAATGTAAATTTGAATGTAGAGAATTATAATAAAAATTATATAATATATAATTTAATGAGGATTGTAAAAATAAAATGAAAATTTTAGTAGCAATTTGAAAATATCACAATTATTAAATAAAAAATAATTTAACAATTAAAAATATATTTTAGCGGCAGTTTTATAACCGTCGCTAATATTGATGGTAAAAATTAAATAAAATAGGTGCCGGTGGTTATGTAAGTGTGGCTAACTCCTACATAAAAATTATTAATTTTTCGCGACGGTTGTGAACCGCTGGGAAATGATTGACCGACTAATTTCCGCGGTTGTAAAAAATCGCCGCTAAAATCTTCGCGACACACTATTTAGTCACGGTTGAATAACCGCCGGGAAACACCATTGCGGTGGTTTGGAACCGCAGCTAAATGATGTATTTGGTGTAGCGATATTGTCTTTAATATTTACGCTTTTCCATCAATTCAGCAGGTAACTGTTAATTGTGCCCCTTTTCCACCAACTCCTCTCTTTCTCCTAGATAATGAACTAATGCTCTTCGTCTTAAAATCATCTCATTTCCGTACTCAGTAGTGAATGTGTAATTGTAACAATTTGTCCGTCTTGATCGGTATGTGATTTTAAATTTTTAATATCTCATTTTCATAACAACTCATGGGCTATTTGTCCACTCTTCCTAGCCGTATAATAAAATGCCTTTTAGAAAATCTAATAAAATAACCAGACTTATTCTGTAGTGAGCAGTGCTTCAGTTTGTTGGCTGAAGACTTTGCTTCAATAACTGATGCATATAATAAGTTTCCGTTCTAGTAAGTTGCTAATTAAGTCTAATGGAAAATATGGTTTAGCTCCCATGTTAGAATTGAATAGCCAAATCAATAACAACAAATTAATTTTTGTTGTGCTGTTAACTGCTGTGAAGGATTGAATCTTTGCTCTTAATGTTGTTAATTGCTGTTAATTATCAAACCTAATTAAGTAGTTTACACTATGGTTGATTTTACCAGCAGCCCAGAATATTGCATTTAAAAGAATTGACTAAAAAAAGTGTTGTTGTTTCTAGTCATAACGATGCCGTTTTCGGCGGTATATATATTGGAGTAAATACCCAAAATGGTCCCTCGACTATAGTTAAATTCACAAATTGGTCCTTGACTTTCAATTTCAACCAATTAAGTCCTTAACTTTGCAATTTTAACACGATTTAATCCTCCGTCTATTTGACCGTTTGTTGACTGTGATCTTTGAAGACATATATGTAATTTCAAGATTCTGCATCATCGCCCGCGGCTGCGCCGTCATCGACGATCTCCAAATGAACCTGCAGCTCTCGTCGGAGCACATGGAGGCCTTCAGGATGATGTTGCACCGTTTCGGAAACACGTCATCTTTTTCGCTCTGGTACGAACTCAACTACATTGAATCCAAAGGGAGGATGAAGAAAGACGACCGGATTTGGTAGATTGCTTTTGGCAATGGATTCAAATGTAACAGTGCGGTCTGAAAATGCAACCGGAACCTTAAAAAATCGACGATGGATCATGAAATTACATATATATCCTCAAAAATTACGGTCAATAAACGGAGGATCAAATCGTGTTAAAATTGCAAAGTTAAGGACTTAATTGGTTGAAATTGAAAGTCGAAAACCAATTTGTAAATTTAACTATAATCGATGGACCATTTTGGGTATTTACTCTTTTTTAAAATAAAATTCCTTTCTTGTTTCTTCTGGAGGACCAGCAGAGCAGACACTCTACTCCTCTTTCGCCTACTGCCTCCACGCCCCAGCCACCACTCCATCACTCCATTAGAACTCTTCATCGAATATTTGGAGATTCGCGGCCCATTACTCCACACGCGCCTCCACCGACCACCGTTGTCCGGCTACTCTCCTCCATGGCTCCGTCCGTTCACGGTTCACCATTCGTCCATTCGTCCACCATTATAGATTTATAGCCTCCGGTAGTCAGGTTCGAACCAATCTTCATTATTCTTCAACTTGATTCTTTTAATTAGTTTGCCACTTTGCCCTAATGGCTAATTCCATAAAAATGATGATTGATAAATCCCTAATTCCCTAAATTTTCAATTAGTTTGCCCTACTAATGTCTCCGTCCGTTCACCGTGAATGTGATGATCGAGGGTGCCATATGGTTGGCTATTTTTCTAAGGTAAATCACTCATTCCCAAGATTTCTCTCTTCTGTTGCATTGCATCTTGTGACTGTTGAAATTTGTGTCCTTTGAAGGTCATGTTAAGCTAATCCTAGGTTTGCTGCTTGTGAGTTGATTAAAAAGGGAAATCTTTTATTGTGAATTGAAACTAGTTATAATTACTTTATGCAAATATGATCTGTGTTTCCTTGTGGCACATTGATCATATAATTTTCTGTGGAGACAAGTTGGAGTAGAAGGTGCTCAAAGTATGCAGAATAGCATCACAAAATAGTGAGATTGTGCCACATATGGAACTTTGGAAATTTGAGTCCTATTCTGAGTGCAAGTCTAGTATTGGTGAGCAAGAGCAGTCCCTGGGTGAACAAACCACATTCATGGGCTTTATGTGTCTGTGGTTCTGAGTCTTCTAACTGGGCATCCCAATTTCATATTCTATTCTATCCTTTAGTAAAAACGATAATCATCCATGCTTTTACACTTGCACACTGCAATACCTTATGTGAAACATTCTCATACATTGTAACTGATTATAACATTAACCTATCAAGAGGTGGAGTGCATTATGTAAGACTGTAACTCTGTGTTAGTGTATTCTGTAACACCTGTTTGATATCCGTATGTATTATAACCAATTATTCATAACAATAGGGATTAGCAGAATAGCAGATGACAATTTTCTGAAAAATTGTAAGCTTTGCTGTTGAGGGTATGATATTTTGTGGTGCTATCTGCAGCACCACTTTTGCTTATTGAATCTTGATTATGTAAAGAACAGTATGATTTGTGTACTTCTTCAATCAAAACCTTAAGCAAATTGATTGAAAAAGTAACTCTGTGTGGAAAGAAAAAATAACTGGTGGAAAGAAAATATCTAATTTGCTTTATTTTTTCTCCCCAGCTCAACATTCCGCCACTGATAATGTGGATTGTAAAACGAAGAGCCCAGTTTCTGGAATTTGTTAACAGTGTAGTACTGCAGTGGTTTGGTTGCTCAAAGTGGATTTTCTTGCAATGTTGTTAGTTTGAAGTTTAGTTCCATAATGGCCTTGAGAGGTGTGAAAAACTTCCTTTGCGGATCACGGGTTCTGACTGTCAAGCAGAATGGTGTGATGAGATTGAGTTTGGTTTGGTACCACTGCTCAGAGGAATCAGAAAGGGAGTCTTTGCCTTCTGAATGGTATGAAAAAGCCTTCTTAAAGCTAACCAAGTTATCTAGCTTTTTGAAGACTGTGGACTTGATTAATGGAAGGCCTGTTAATGTTATTGATGAATCTAGGGTTCATGATGACATTTTGCTAGAAAACTTACATCTTTTCAAGTCCCTAGCTAGAGACTTCATTGGGTGTCCTTCAGTTCAAGAAACAATGAAGAAGAACATGATAGTTGCTTTAGGGAGCAATGCAGAATGCAAAGAGCCTCTTTGTTTTAGTAAAGCTAGTGAGAGAGAATCAATCAGGGTGGATTCACTCACAAAGGTGGCTAGTTTCTTGGACATTTCAGCTCAACAGAGGAAGGTAGTCAGGGCAGCAATATGCCCTCAGGTCACTCGACACCAGATATTGACTGGTGCACTTGAAGAGATACTAGATGGATTGAAATCTGAGATAGAGTATTTCGATTCTAGGTGCCCAAGTAACCAAGTTAAAATGGCAAAGCAGATTGTTGTGAGTTGTCTTAAGGTTTTAGATATTGCCACTTCTTACAACCCAGAGTCCACTTCATGGATGCGAGTTGCACCCGTAAAAGATGCAGATTCACCTACTACTTCACATAAATGGGAAGATATTCTGGAGAGGTTCATTGATCTTGTTGACTGCTTGAGTGAAGAAACAAAATTAGCTCTAGATGTTAAGAAGGCAGAGGTCATGAAAGAGGCGCTTTATCAGATAAGGGATGTTAGGATAGATAAAAACATTGGATACAGGGAGACTCGCCATCAGGAAAGCTTAGTACAAAAGATATTATCTAAGACACTGGGTCACTCATCTCGGTGCTTATTTACACTTCTCACGTATTATCTTTATGGCAACATGCAAGATATTGAAGTAGAAGTTCGTGGGGGGCTTTATGAAATTGGTCAAGGGAATAAGTTCCGCTTGTGCATGGGGAAGATCTTGACATCAGATGAGGAGAAGATGTTGTGGAGTGGAGTGAAGCAGCTGGACAAGGCTTTGGGGCTCTTCAAGTTTATTTGGGAAGCAGCCGGAATGAAAGGAGATCTTGAATTGCAAGGCCATTTGTGGTGCATTGGCACTGATAGCAGATCACTCGCATATAGAGGGAATACATTCTTATTGCACGGGATTGATCATTTCCGTTAATTGTGCCTTAACTCGAGCCAACGTCCTGTCATCCTTCATGTGAGCTAAAACAAATCTAGTGAGTAACTTTCTTTTACTCACACACCGATTATTAGCTTTTTCTCCCTTTATCCAAAATAGGAATAATGTTATATGCATGTCAGAATAGGTGTATGTGTCCTGTGATTCAGAATTTTAGTTACTCTAGCTATTAGAGTTTGCGTATTATTCATTGTTAGCCATGATCAAATACATTCATCAATACTATATCCTTTCATGGCATCAATAGCAAGTATAATCTTATTTAGATGAACTGCACTTTGCTTTGCGGGCATGTGGCAATAGCAATGTGTTGTTGGCAGTGCATAGCTCTTTAGTTATTGTATTAGTTATTGGATGACGAGGGAAACCTGTAGCCACTGTCCGAGGGTGTGCACGGGGTAAATCTAGCCTGGTGACCCTAACCGGCGAAGGACTACAAGGAGGTAAACCAGCGCAGATTGTCCATAGCTGATCGGCTCAAACCAAGAGGGTTGGGATTCAAACTCGTGACCCTGTGGTTACAAGTTTGTATCCTTAACCATCTTGGCTGGGTTACCCCGGTGGCATGCTTTTTTCATTGGCTGATTCATGGATCTATCATCATTAGGGATGTAGTTGAATTTGGGGTTCCCCTAATGTTATTACCACTAAACTAGACCATACAGTATTTTTTTTTTTTTTTTTGAGTTCGACCATACAGTATTTTATTTGTGATGTTTTGAATATGCTCTGCATCTTCATTCTTTAAAATTGCAGATTCCATAAGATACACCAGCTTTGAATGTGGGGCTACAAGTTCAATTCTCCAAATCTTGGCCTTATATGGGCAATGGCTGCACCCACCCACCCCAGTCACAATATCAAGGAACTATATTGTAAATTGTTGATACAGAAATAAATATGATAATGATGTTGTAGCTAACTGGTTGAAAGGTAATGTTTATGGAACAGATCTTGACAAATAATTGTAGATTAGAATCAAGAAAATATATATTCTAAATTTGTCAGACAGCTTAGCAGTTTCTATCTACATTTGTGAGACAGCTTAACAGTTTTCTATACTAATGAAGATGATCTACCACCTACCACCATAATTTAAGTTGAATAAATTTTATTGTATCCCAACTAAAGTATTAGGGAAAGTCGTTAAATATATCTTTCAACTTTATATTTAAAGTCAATTTAGATTTAGGAATTTTTAAAAGTTGTAATTAAGCATATCAACATGTTATTTTTGTTCATTGGATCTCAAAAATTAATAACCTGAAATAGTTGATCATTAGAGTCTTGATGATGTTTTGACTAGCTCTAGAGACAAAAATTGACGATCGGCAATCAATGAATGATTGCATGTCACCTCACTGAAAGAAAGCGTACAGGTGGTCAGGGATGAAGACAATCGTAGTCACCATAGTAGTTGATGGAGTTACTCAAAATATCACTAGATATTAATGACTCGTCATTAATTGATTTTTAAGCATTGATGTATAAAATGACATGTTAATATGTTTAATTGCGACTATTAAAAGTTAATGGGTCTAACTAAGTTTCGTATAAAGTTCATGCGCTTGTTTGATCTTTTTTTTAAGTATTATTTTAAGTTCAAATTTATGTGTTGAAAGGGTTTTTCCATCTAAAATATAACTAGTATTACTCAATCTCAAATTAATTATAGTTTGGTCAAAATGAAGACTGGCTAGTTGATATAAAGAATTAATTAATTACATTATTCTTGTAGAGTTGTAGATTAATGAAGCCGGGAGTAGATGTTTGATGGTAATGCATCATCCTCCAGTTTCTGTTAATAGTGTCAATGGCACATTATTCACAAACTAATATAAAAACCTGAATGGGCACTAATTGACACTTCATTCCATTTACTTTCATCACAAAGAGGGAAATTCTAATTGTATAATATTTTTTTTGAATTAAAACACATTTTGGTCCTTCAATTATTAAGTATTGCGTAATTTAGTTCTAGACGTTGTAAATTACTCAATTTAGTTCTCTAACTTGTAAAGTCAACTTAATTTGGTCTTTTGTTACAAAAATCATTCAATTACCGTTAATGAGAGTGGCAAAAATGTCATTCGACATTCTAAGAACTCTTCCTCATACTTTTGTCGCGTAAACACCCCCTTTCTCAGTTAACCCTTCAAAGTTCAAACCTCATGGAGTTCTGATAATCCTAGTCGAAAAAATAACTAAAAACATTGGATAGTTTAGAGACCCTAGTCTGCCCAGATTTTGCACGATGCAATTCAACTATGGAGGAATCCTATACGAATAGGAAAATTTGATCTACGTTGCATGTAATGGAGCATTCACATGGGGTTTGAAAATTTTATACGTCAATAGATTTGAGCCGCGGCTTGAGAAAGACGCTATACTGGGCGCCGACGGCGAGGTTTCGATTACTGTTCCCCTAAATACAATTGCGACAATTGGTGACGGCCTGACGGCTCCGCGCAACTTGATATATTCAAAGATTTTTGCCCCTTTAATGTAATTGGATGACTTTTGTAACGAATGATCAAATTGAGTCGATTTTATAAGTTAGATGACTAAATTGAATAATTTATAAAGTCTGAAACTAGAACTAAATTACGCAATACTTAATAGTCAAGGGACCAAAATGGGTATTAACTTTATTTTTTTAATACAAAATTACTTCTATATAGTATGCAATTTTATTTGTGACAAAAAATGCTCTCTTTCCCTCCTGATTTTTACCTCCAAATTTTCCCCTCATAATATGACTTTTATTCATTGGGTGTAAATGAAACCATTAATCCAATTTCTAAGTTAACTATTAGATGTTTGTACAAGATTTGATAAGATTTAATTGTCAACTATTTGTTAATGCAAAAACAACATATAAGAATAAAAAATATACTATTATTTTGTTTCAGTACCAATTTATATTGGTATATATGTTTGTTACATGTGCGTACACATGCACATTTTTTAAAATATGTTTGTTATTTGAGTTGAAATCTTTTAAATTATCACCAAATAAGTATGCTTGTCAACTTCTTCTTCTTCTTCTTCTTTTTTTTCAATATTATAAAACTAATTTCTGAATTTTCTTCTACATATAATTATTAATTTTTTGAACTAAACCAAAGAATTAAAAAGTTCAAGATTTTTTTTAAAAATGTTTTTCTTTATGAACACATTTACTTTTAGAAGATATGGATTTTGGGCAAGTTGAAAGGAAGTAAATACCCATCATGCCAAAATGTTTTTTTTTTTCTTTTTCTAAGATAGTATATATTCTATACTTTCTCTATCAATTGCAGTTCAAAGAGTCACTGGGGTTCAACCCTGTTACCTTCAATCAGCTCAAAGGTATATATTCTATACTTTTTCTATCAATTGCAACTCAAAGAGTCAAGACCCACCATTGAGGTTCAATCCTGTGACCTTCAATTAGGGAAGTCCAAAGAGTCAAGATCCATCATTGGGGTTTGATCCTGTAACCTTCCTTCAAGAAATGCCACAGAGATGACATCTAAACCCAAGGTGCTTGGCATGCCAAAATGCTTTAATAATTAACCAAAGCTAAATGTACATAAATGAAGAAGATAAAATCTACTTGCCTAACATAGAAAGATTGGAACAAGATTTACAGTAAAGATAAGGCTAAGATTTCTAATTCCTGTGTATACAATAATATTCTTAAGGAAAGTATTTCCAAATGGGCAATAATGCGTTTGTCTTGTCAAATACCAATATTAATATTAGTATAGACTACCAAAAAAAAAAAAAATAACAAGGGTGTATTCAATTAATACTTTTTCAAACTTTCAAAATTTTTACAATAATGATGAATTTTCAAATGACTTTTATGAAATCCTTCCAAACTTCCATAAAATTTTTTAACTTTCATAAACTTTGTACAAATCAATAAAAGTCTATATAAGAAATATTTACAAACTTTTTAAAAAGTTTTCATACTAAAAGTCTAAAAAGTCTAAATTGAGTACACCTTTACAAACATTATATTGTATAATTTCTATTAATGCATTATTTATAATTTTTTATAATTTTTTTATACTCCATCTGTCTCATTTTAACGAGAATTGACTGAAATTATTATATATTTAGAAACTACATTAAAAGTATTATTAAACACACACAAAAAAAAAACAAATTTAAAAATAAAAATTATTAAAGAAAACAAGTAAGAAAGAAAGAATTAGTTCGACCAATTAATAGTAAACATGACATGTAAAATGTGATAGATGGTGTAATATATAATACATTTTTATAAATCATAAATAAATTAATGCATTGTCAAAAAAATAAAAAATAATAAATATTATTTTCCACAGTATATTATGCATAAAGACAATATCAATCAATTTTCACTAAATGATTAATGATATATCCAATAAAAATATTTCTTGAACTAATGAAACAACTAGTGTGACCTACAAAATGTTTCATTAGTATGACAATATCTAGAGTTCTGGCTAATCATTAGTAAAAATGTTGCAACCATTTCTTCAACAGTAATGCATCTTGTATCCTTTAAAAGTGTTTTCTCTTTAATAATATGACATAATTTTAAAAAACAACATTTGGCGATATATTGTATACATGCCAAAAGTTATTAGAATTGAATCTTTAGTCAATACATTTTGTATGTAAATGTATCCACATAAAGTAATTGGTCATTGAATTAGTAGATGTTCAATTTGTTCACCATTATTATCAATATAATAAGTTTCTTCCGTACTTGTATGATAGAATCACTCCTTTAGATCATAGTGGAGTGAAGATGAAGTGATGGAGTGAGCTTGATCATCAAGAAGCAACAGGTAGCTGACAGTTGAAGTGTTCCAAGCAGTTGAAGGCTGTTAGTAAGAAGGGCACTCTTGTCATTTCCTTTACTTGGCAGTTATAACTGCCATTTCTTGTATCCTGCATTGTGTATTAAGCCTAGGTCTTGTCTCCTTCCTTGAATATATAGTTCTTCTTTTACTGCTTCACTATAAGATTGTGGCTCTTGTATGGATGAAATGGCTGAGGCACACATCCTATGGCTGGAAGATAAGCAGTCATAGGATATGACTTTACTCAGTGAATGAGGAGAAGTCCTTCTGTGTGGCAGTGTTCCATTGATGGATTGGCAGTAATAATCATGTAGCCTGGTGGGAACTTGCTTTGCCCTCCTAGACCTCCTAGGCTCCAAATGTGGTGCCTCCTCAGTGGACAATTCATTCTCCTCAGCTAATAAAACTTCCTCACATACTGCATCACTGTTTGGTTCTGCTGCTAACTCATTCCCACTTTCACTTTCAGCAATAGTGTCAATTTGACCACTTTCATGAACTTCTGGAATATAGATGGTGTCATCATGCCTTTCTGTATCATCAGTTCATCACACCCTCCTGTGGCCTTAGGAAGGTTCTTATGCACTTCAGTAGACACAGATATGGAAGGTAAGCAAGGATTAATCGTCCAATGCCAGCTGAGTCAGAATTAGCTTCAACTGCCTTGTCCTTGAGAGGGTAGATGTGTTCATAGAAATGTACATCTCTAGAAACAAAGATAGTACCATCTCCCATGTCATATAATATGTAGCCCTTTACATTAGCTGGGAACCCTAAGAAGATGCACTTCCTGGCTCTTGGCTCCATTTTGTTTCTCCCTTGAGATGCAGTGGCACCAAAACACAAGCATCCAAAAGCTTTAAGCTGCTCATAGTTTGCTGTCTCACCAAACAAGATTTCAAATGGTGTGCTTCCATTGACCACTGCAGTAAGCAACCTATTGATGAGATAGGAGGCATGTAGAACACAATGCCCCCAGAATTCCATAGACAATCCAGATTGGAACCTGAGGGATCTGGCCACATTCATGATGTGCTGGTGTTTTCTTTCTGCAATGCCATTCTGCTGGGGAGTGTTTACACAAGATTTCTGGTGGATGATTCCTTTTTCACTGAAGAATTCCTTCATAAAGAATTCAGTCCCATT